CGATCACAGGTCTAAGACAAATATCAATTGATAGCAATAGGTAACCAATCCTTACTAAAAATAAAATGTTTTATGAACACTTCTCTAATTATTTTGCTGTGTTAAGGCAGAGAAGCATCACCCTGCGCTGATCCAGATGCTGTGTGGACATCTCGGGGTCGAGCCAAATGCTTTACTGGACTTTGAGCTCTGTCTGGCAGACACACAGCCTGGTGTAAGTCTCTTTGTCTTCTTGTTAGACAAATACCCAAAAGATTTCAGTTTTGCTTTCTAGTCTTTTTCTTTTTTTGAACTTTTGCACAAAATTGTGCTGACATGAGGATTAGTATGCAGGGTACATTTGTGCTCAACAAAGAGGATTTCTGTTATTTTTACCTGACTGAAGAAAAGCCTTTAAATGTAAGACTGGGACTACCAGCAGAATGAAACCTTACTTTAGAGAATCTCGAAGGAACAAGACTTAAGAGCTCTAATAGCTCTCATTTCCATATGATTTACACATAAAATAACTGTCAGAGCGTCAGCAGTGGGTTCTCACCGGGGCTTTTTAACTGATTATCATGAGTTTTGACATGGTTTTGTGCTCTGCAGGCTCTAGGAGGTGTCTATGAAGAATTCATCTTCTCTCCTCGTCTGGACAACCTGCACAGTTGTTTCTGTGCTCTCACGGTACGCCTGAACACAGAGAGCAACATCTTATTAAATATTCAGTCATTCACCCACTCAAAAATTATCTGAGGAGTGATGATGAATAATTAATACATAATTATGTCCTCTCTCCCAGGCTCTCATGGACTTCAGCACACCTGATTCTCTAGCAAAAGATCCAAACATCCGTGTGGTTACTCTATATGACAACGAAGAGGTGAGACAACAAAAGCAAATATTATGAGCAAATGTCGATTCTGAATCCATCATGAGTCTCCTCATCCAAATAATTTGGCTTTTTTATTTATCAATAGGTGGGGTCTGAGAGCGCTCAGGGAGCTCAGTCTAACCTGACTGAGTTGATTCTGCAGCGTCTTGCTTCAACGCCTGACAATCTGACCGCCTTTCAGGAGGCAGTGTCACTGTCCTTCATGATCAGTGCGGACATGGCACATGCTGCACACCCTAACTACCAGTCAGTCTGTCACTATGGCAACTTGTTTGTTTCTATGGTAACACTTAAATTAGCATTTTTTTTTCCTGGTACAATGTGTCATCATTGTGGTGACACCAGAATTTGTGGTTTTGTTTTAATAACAATCAAATTTCCCAGTCATGAGAAACACCTGGGAATATCAAGAATTTTAAAGTAGTTATTTTCAGTCTTGGGAAAATGATGAATGTATAAAATCTCACATCATGGAGATTTCTTATATATATATATATATATATATATATATATACATACATACA